GCACCCCACTCAGGCTAGCATCCCCACTCAGGCCAGCACCCCCACTCAGGCCAGCATCCCTACTCAGGTCAGCATCCCCACTCACCTTGAATGGGAGGACAAGTCACCTCAGCCAACAGTTCTTTTTCTTCATCTGTGTGATCCAGACAGAAAGCCTGCAGCAGAGTGTGCCCCCCTCCCCCTTCCATCTCTTGGCTTAGGCCATGCCGATTAAGCATCCTCTAAGCATCTGGCTCACAGATAGAGTGGGGAGCAAGATCAAGGACATCTTTATGGAGTTTATAATCTAATAGCAGCTCACTCAACATTAGAACATAGCATAAAGATATGAGTAATTAGCCAAGGCTGATATTAGGCAGAAATCCATAGAAATGGTAGAGAATGATTTTTACATTTAACAGTGTAAAAAAAAAATCGGCTTAGAACCATTCCTCATGCAAATAACATCCCCAACCTAGACTGCTGTCTGCGCTATTGATTGTGTCAGGTCTCTTCAGAATAGTTGAAACTGGCCTTGGGGATCTTTATTTGGCTGGAGATTTAAACTAGCTAGGTTGCTTTTATTAAGCATGAGGCTCTCAGATCTCTCCTTGGTTTCTACCACAGTTTTTCACAAGTACTCTATTAGCTATGTGCACACATATATTTCCCTTATGAACCTAAGCACACATGTGGAATGGCACCCTTTCCCACTCCCTGCCTTGTTTTGATCCCTCTAGAAGATGGATCATTCACCCAGCAGGTCAGGTCCCCCATCATCATTCTCTTTCCCAGCAGAACAGTGGTTTGTGTACCCTGCTCGCTACTCTGTTCCAAGGTCTTCACTGCTACAAACAGCAGTTGTCAAGAACATCCTTGTACGTATATCTTTGCACACATATACAATTGTATCTGGAGCATAAGGTTCCCAGAAATGGAATCGCTAGACCAAAACCCTGTGCTTTTATTTTGTCCTTATTTGAGACAGAGTCTAACTATGTAACCCAGGTTGGGCCTGAGCTCATAGTCCTGCCCCTGAGTGTCAATGATTCAAAGAATTAAACTATTTCTGTTTGTTTGTTTGTTTTTGTTGTTGTTGTTTTTTCTGAGAAATGGTCTCATGTAGCCCAAGCTGGCCTGGAACATGCGATGTGACTAACACCAACCTTAAACTCCCGATCCCACCCCTCATTCCCCAAGACTCCCCCCCATCTACCTCCCAAGTGCTAGGATTTCAGGTGTATGCCACTATACCTGGCTTAAGGATTGTACTTTAAATATATATAGACATATATGTATATCTCTGTGTGTATATATGCAAATTAGTTGCTTTTCTGTTGCTGTGATAAATACTACAACCAAGACAACTTATAGAAGAATTTATTTGGGCTTATGAGTCTAGAGAGTGCCCATAATGGTGGGACAGAGGCAGCAGACAGGATGATGGCCAGAACAGGATGTTGAAAGCTTACATCCTGAACTATGAGCACAAAGCATGAGCCTTTAAACTTTCAAAGCCTGCCTCAGTGACAGGGCCACACCTCCTAAACATCTGTAAACAGTACCACCAACTGGGGACCATGTGTTCAAATGCCGAGACTAAGGGGAACATTTCTTATTCCAACCACAAAGTGTGTTTGGATGTTTTGCCTGCATGAATATCTGTGTGCCTTGTGGGTGCCTGGTGCCCAGAAGTCAGAAGGAGACATCCGATCCCCTGGAACTAGAGTTACAGGTGATTGTGAGCTGCCATAATAGTGCTGGGAAGTGAACCTGGGTCCTCTGCAAGAGCAGCCAGTCCACTTAGTCAGTGAGCCGTGCTCCAGCCACAGGACTGTACTTTTAAAAGCATTAATAATGTTACCATGATATAGTCCAAGGTGTGTCTGTTCCACCGTGCACCCACTCAAAGTGAACATACCTGCAAGCCCATTGTCTGCAACATCCCCAGTCTTGGATATTGGCAAATCTTTTCTGATTGCAGCAGCAGAAAAAATAATAATGCTATTTGTTTTATTTAATGGTAATTTAAATTTTCTTACCTATGAATAACACCAGAGCATCTTTCTCTGCTAGCCTTTTAAAAACAAAAGAAACAGAATCAAGGCTTTCATCCTCCTTCCCTATCGACTAGGATGGTAGTTCCCCAGTGGACCCCTGGACCAACAGTGTCAGCATCACCTGCCATCACACTGGAAATGTAGACTCAGAATACCCACACCCTCTGAAGGAGGAACTCTGTTAGAACCCTGCAGCTCTGTGTAATCCTGCCTCCGGAGCTCCTGGTTTAGTAGGTTTGGGACAAGTTCCCACACGCTGGACCACACTGCACCATTCACTGTGCCAGTACCTCTCTCTTGCAGTCGTGCTAATTTCTTTTTTCAGTGCCAGAGAATCAAACCTAGAGCTGTATATTTGCCAAACAAGCATGGCTACCATTGAGCCTGACCTCAGCCCTTTGCTGTGAGATTTACTTACAGGCAGGTTTTCTGATTCCCTCTTTGCAGAGGAGCATTACCCCAAAGAAGTTTTTGTCAGGTGGGGAGAATCTTCAGGGAGTGCCTGGTTATGGTGACCTGGAACTGCATGGCCTCCTGGGAAAACCTTGCATTTAGGGAAATGAGGAAAAGCTATCCATGCTTCTAAAACGCTGCACAGCGCCCCCACCTGTGCAGGACTCTTACTGCATGTAGAAAGGGAAGGAAATCTGGATCAAGATCACCTAGAGGTAGACAGGAGCATGCTTCAAAAAAAAAAAAAAAAAAAAATCTTTCTTGCTGGGCAGTTTCATGTATGACTTTCATCCCAGCACTCAGGAAGCGGAGCCAGGCAGATCTCTTGAGTTGGAGGCCAGCCTGTTCTTCAGAGGGAGTCCTAGGACAGCCAGAGCTACACAGAAAAACCCTGTCTTGAAAAACAAAAACAAAATCCTTCCTCATATAGTTCAGAGTGGGTCACTTGGTTGCTACTGTTCGTTTTGTGAGTCAAGGTCTTGCTATGCAGTCCAGGCTAGCCTGAAAATCACTGGATAGCCCAGGTTGTCCTCTACTTCAAGCAATCCTGCCTGAACATACACACACACATGCATGCACCTAGGGTGCTGGGTTACAAAGGTGTACCGTTAGGCCTGCTTTGTTTTATTTTTTGTCTTTTGAGACAAGGTCTTGCTATGTTGCCCCAGCTGGACTACAGACCTGTCTCAGACTCCCAAATGCTAAGATGACAGGTGTGAGCCATAATGCCCAGACAAAAAGCCTTCTTCATTAAAGAAATGGTTATTAGGGCTAGTGCTAAACATAGACCACCCAGGGGGCCTCCAAAGAGCATCCATGCCCTTTAGGTCCCACCACCAGACATTCTGATGATAGGCTAGGATACATGAGGCCACCCCCCCCCCAAGGAAAAAGATGAACACAGTAATTGTAGCTTAGTTTGGTTTATATTACTATTATTAAATTCCATGACCAAAGCAACTTGAGGAAGGAAAGGGTTTATTTCATCTTCTAACTGCCAGGTCACAGTCCATCATTGGGGAAAATCAAGGCAGGAACTCAAATAGGAACTTGGATACAGAAACTGAAACAGAGACTATGAAGGGCTGCTACTTATTGGCTTGCTTTTCATGGTTCACTCAGCTTGCTTTTTATACAACACAAGGCTAACTGCCCAGCACCACCCATAATGGGTTGGACCCTCCCACATCAATCATTAACACCCCCCCCAAATGTCCCTCAGACTGGCCTATAGCCCAATCTAGTGGAGACATCATCTCAATTAAGATTCCCTCTTGCCCAGTGACTCTAGATTGTATCAAACAGCTCAGACAGATAGAAGGGAGTTATTCTAGACCTTAAAAGTGTTGTTGCCCGGGCCAGGCATTGGTTGCACTTGCCTTTATTCCCAGCACTCAGAAGGCAGAGGCAGGTGGATCTCTATGAGCTCGAGGCCAGCCTGGTCTACAGAGCGAGTGCCAGGACAACCTCCAGAGCTACACAGAGAAACTCTGTCTCAAAAAACTAAAAAAAAAGTGTTGTCCCCCATAGCTTGCCAATTCTGAAGCTACTGTTGGGCCATTTAGGGGTGTCAAACCTCTGTGCCAGTGTCAGGGCAGCAGCTCCCATTCCCATTGTAAAGCCACTTTTCCATTGCTGGTGTGTGTGGTGTGTGCTTCTGCTAGCCTCCAGGAGTTTTTCAGCTAGGTTTTATCCTTAAGTTGGCTTCCTGGAGTCTGGCCTTAGGCCTTCAGAAGAACGTGCTAAATCCTTTGCCTATAAATACCCACCAACCTCTTTCTCTTAGCAAAGCCATAGTAGCATAGCTTGGCTCTGACAGCTTCCCAGAGGACACCAGCTGAGATCATTTCTCCTGGGCAGGCCAGGCCCAAACACTCTCTCCATTCACACAGCCCCTCTGAGTGTTTCTGAATGAGTTGGCCTCCCTTGGCATGCTAGCCCTATGTCATGAAGAACATTTGGCTGAACCCTGCAGAGCGTCCCAGGTGTCCCTCTGGACTGAAGTTCATCTTCTTTCCCTCCCCAGAGTTGGCAAGAAGATCCTGTAAATAACACCCTTTGGGTTCTTAATCCCATGAATCATTGTACACGTGGGTATACCACCCCAATTTGTAGCTAAGAAGCCAATCAATCCCCAAAGGGTTTAACTCTTGCTGTGTTTATATCTGTGCATGAACATAGGTGCTTACACTCACCTTGAAGATCAAGGCTGCCCAGGAGCATCTAAACTAGCAAATCACAGCCATCTTTAAAGGGGCATTGCAAATCTACTGCTGTGCGTACATCTGCTCACAAACGCTGCTAATGCCCAGTTTTCTCTAATTTGAGGGAGCATCTCTCACATAGCTAAAAAGCAATGTCTGTATTCTACCTGTCCTTTCTTAGCATATATGCATTTATGCTCATTCTTTCAGTGTATCGGCTCCCAGTTATAAACTCTCTAGCTTGCATTCTCTTCTATATTTGTTACACCTGAAATGATTGGGTGACCTCACCTTTTGCCCTCAGGCTGCACGTGGGAATTTGGAGCCATGGTGAACTACATCAAGAAGACATATCCCCAGACCCAGCTGGTCGTCGTGGGCTTCAGCCTGGGTGGTAACATTGTGTGCAAATACCTGGGGGAGACGCAGGCAAACCAGGAAAAGGTCCTGTGCTGTGTCAGTGTGTGCCAGGGGTACAGTGCGCTAAGGTGAGTCATCTGCATCTCTCTCTCTCTCTCTCTCTCTCTCTCTCTCTCTCTCTCTCTCTCTCTCACACACACACACACACACACACACACACACACACACACACACACACACGCTTGGGTCCTTCAGTTGACAGTACTTGTTTATTGCGCTTAGCCAATTATAGGTGCAGGGAGCACCTGGCAGACTTAGATTCCACTGCATCTGCACACCAGAGTCGTCCTAGCAGGCCTGTTAAGGATCAGATCCAAAGCCACTGTAATAGCTGCTGCCTTCCTGGGGAGTCTCAGATTATGTCTGAAATTCAGGAATATGGTAGAACTACAGGTTAACGAGAGAACACAGGAAACAACAGTATCTGACCCCTGGACATTGTGACCCTGGATCCCTCCTCCCAGCAGGAGTATTGAGTCTCAGATGGTGTCTGAAGGGACTTGTGGAAGTCATCTAAGCAGTGTCCTCACCTGAAGGATTCACCTCTCAGCATCCTGGGAATCTGGCCTAGGGAGCAAGTGTGCACCCCAGCCCTTGGTCTCCTGCCAGCAGACACACTGCAGGATGAGGATGAGTTCATGTGCGTGATGTACTTAGAGCAATGCCTGGCTACAGAACGTAATCGCCAGCAGCATCCCTACTGTCGCTGGGAAATGACGAGGTGGCTTAGATCAGGAACCACAAAGGCCAGTCTGATGAACCAATGGTTGTCTCTGGACAACCACTGGAGTGACTGGCAAGACGGCTCAGTGGGTAAATGCATTTTCTGGGGAAGTCTGATGACCCAAGTTTGATCACGAAAACCCACATAAACCGGAGCTAGCCAAAATCAGCTCCATAGAGCTGTCCTCCGGCCTCCGTGCACACACAATGATAGTAAGGTTTTAAAAAAAATAAGCACTTGAGGGGAGCGTGTTAGAAATAAGTTCAGGGTGGTGGAGCCCTATGTCTGGAGGTTTTCATTTGATGTCCCCCAGGATTCTGCCTTCTAGACCCATTTCATAGAGGAGTCCGTGTTAAGCAGTCATTGGGTTTGGTGACCTCTAGCTCTGGCATCTCGGACTAAGTTAGCCTCTCGTCCCATAGATAGCCGAAAGGCGTACATACTACCTTTATTGTGGCTCACTGAGAAAAATCCATCTCCCAGTTCACAGTCACATAGAACTAGAGCTAGCCACAACCTATCCTGCCCAGTCACTTGGATAAGAAAAAGACACTGAGTGGACAGCCTTTCACCAAATCTGAGGGAGTGGGGTCTGGAGATGAGGGGTCCTCCCTGCTTCCTTCCGCCTGACAGCTTGTCTAATGTTCTGCCCACCCCAGTCATCTTTGCTGTCAGACACCGCTGGATTCCATCCCAGCCTCAGTGCAGGGAACTTGCCGGGAATGCTAACCTAGTGTTCAGAGATCGCTGGGTTTTTATAAATAGGAAGCTGGTGACAAATTTGTCCTTTTCTTCCCCTCCTCTCTCTCCTCTCCCCACTGCTGTCCTCTCAATGCTCCAATCTTACAATAAACATGTCTCCTTGCATTGTGCAGCAATGGTGCCATCTGCTGTTGGCAGATGAGCAGCACAGTTAGCAAAGTAAGGTGTTCAAATGAGGCAGACAAGAGTGACTCAAGAGGAACCTAGGATCCTGAAGTGCTTCCCTCCCCCCTTCCCAGAGACCGCTAAGAGCTGCAGACACACAGTTGTCTGTTGTCACATCAGCCCCATACAATAAGGAGAGAAAGAGGTAGGTTGATCCTCTAGAGCATGGTTGGCATTTGGCTGAGACCCTGCAGTCCTACACATGGAATCTTGTGGCCGGCTAGAGAAGCCCATTGTCCCCTGTGTGCTGGCGCTGCCTGGGGCTCAGAGCCATGGCTGAAGGAAGGAAGGAAAGTTCCATACTTGAAACCAGTGTAGCCTTCTCTTCCTGTGGATGCTTGAAACAGGAGACTTTTCACCCCCCAATGGCAGCTGGGCAGGTGGAGCAGGAAGGCGCATCTGCATCCTGACTGGCATCCAAAATATAAAACTCATCTCTTATATCTGACAGGCAGCTCTCACAAACATACAGTGTTTCCTGTAGGGGCTTTGGGTAGCCACACAGTCCCCGTCACAGGGTCCCGCCCACCTCACGACATCTTAGTGATGCCTCTAAGATCTTCTCTGTAATTACGTTTGTTTGGTTGTTTGTAGGGGTAGGTGTGTATTCATGTCACAGCACACACATGGAGGTCAGAGAACAAGTTTGTTGTTGTTTAGACAGTCTCTGTATGTAGCCACAGCTGGCTTAAAACTTGCTGTATAGAACAGGCTAGCCTCAAACCCACATAGATCTGCTTGCCCTCTGCCTCCTCCAAGTGCTGGAATTAAAGATATGTGCCATGGTACCTGGCCAGAGGACAGTTTTCAACTATCAGTGCTCTCCTGCTACCATATGGGCTCTACAGACTGAACTCAGTTTGTCCCTTGGCAGCAAGTGCCTTTGCCCACTGTGTCACCTCAGCAGCCTCTCCTCTGGGGTTCTCTATACTCTCATGAGTTAGTCCTCCTTGTGTGTGCTCCACTCCTCTCATAAGGCTGTCTGAAATTATAGCATCCTCTCTTGCCCCCCTCTAGAGTTTCCTGTGCCCTCCCATGACCCCGCTGCTCCTCGTCCCTCTGTGATACTCGCTGTCTGTCTCAGTACCCTGTGTTGCCACAGTTTCGTGTGGTTCACCCCACCACCACTCTCTTCATTGGATCACCTAGATCCCAGGCAGACACTTCTGTTCTTCAGAGGCATGTGGTTCTTTGGCTCAGCATCCTTGTCCTCACCCTCGTTGGCTCTGGATCCCTGTGAACTCCAGGGACTTTTACTAAGCAGCATCCTAGTGTTGAACCTAAAAACCTCTGCACTGCTGACACACAAAATTATGGCCAGGACTCCCCTCCCCGCCTTACCTCTACAGTCCATCTTCTCTGAGGTAGGAACTAATGAAAGCAAGAATGCCCCTCAGTCAGGATCTAAGGAAAGGGAGACATGAATGAGATCAAGAGAAAACCAGACCTCTGGGAAACTGTGGCTTGACTCTCAGAGCAAGCAGCAACAGGAGTTTTGAAGGTCAAGAGAGGAGGAACCAAGTAGAGGAGCAAAGGCTTGTGGCTCGATGGTCAGGAAGAAGGCATTAGGCACGTGTCCACAGTGTCCTACCTGTGATGGTGTGGCTTGCCTGTGATGACATTGCTCCTGTTTCCACCTGCAGGGTTCAGGGAGGTCCCGTACCTGATAGTGGCTTCTCAGAAAGTATGTTATTCTCCACTTGAAGCTTCAACATTTGTATTGTGAACACATCACACACTCCTTTATGCTCCCCACTTATTTATTTAAGCAGTTGGAGAAGATTCCCAGCAGGCCTTTACCAACAGCCAGCTGTGCCTTTCTAGCCCTGGAAGTTTCTGGCAGGGCCATCTTCAGAGGGCTTTCTGGCTTCTCCCTGGATATCTGGATGCTGCACACCAAAGCTGATACCCAGCACAGGCACAGGCCAGGCATGCACTGTCCACACAGCCCCTCATGGCAGTCATGGTGTCTCTCACTTGCTGTGGTTCTTCCAGGGCCCAGGAGACCTTCATGCAGTGGGACCAGTGTCGACGATTCTACAATTTCCTCATGGCTGACAACATGAAGAAGATCATCCTGTCTCACAGGTAGGCCTCCTTCTCTTCCTTCGCAGGAGATACCTGGTAACTCCTGCTAAGATGCGACAAGGAAGGTCTTCACATGCCACTCTTTACCCAATCAGAGCAGCCCTGAGACTGCTTGTCATTGTTTAAGTGGCCTTCCTCCTCAGGATGCTCCTGTGAAGGGCTTCAGGACTGGGTCTTGTCCAGACCTCAACTTCAGCCATGTGGCAAGAGGCTCAGAGCAGCCCACCTCTTAATTTTCTCCCTCCACCCTAGTGGTTAAAACAACATTGTCTAGCCTGGCTTAGCCACACACCCCAGGCCAAACTGAGCTTCCTGTGGGTGGACTCACAGGGTACCTGAGCAAGGCTGGTGCTCACAGACCCTCAAACAACAAAGCTTCAAGGCATGTCCTCAGGTCCTTGCATCAGGTCCCTTGAGAAGGAGAGACTTCTGTCCCCTGTGCTGTGGCAAAGTCAACAATCCCATTCAACTCCTGTGATGTGAACATCGGTCACATGCTGGACACTGAGTAGAGAGAGTGCAGCCCAGCTGAAGTTCCAGTGGGTCTGAGGGTTTACTGAGGCTCTCTAGCCAGACAGGGTGAAGTTAGTTTACTGATGCCAAGTTTAAGTCCTTATGTCTGCACCTCTAGAATGGACACTGAGTCCTCCTGAGGAAGATTTGTTTTGCTGAAAGGTTGAGTGTTGCTAAAAATTACTGAAGGTTCATTATGCAATTGCTAACAAATTGGGAAGTCATGTTACTGTGCTTATCACAGAAAGCCAACTAGCTGAACTCTGAGGGAAACTTTAGGGTATGAATTCAATCCTTTGCCGCCTTATTTGGGAAAAAGTAAGTCCTAAGGAAAGCTGCTGATCTCCTTTTAGAGAGGTTATAAATGGATACCAGAACACTGCTTTCTGGCGTGACTGTTCACTACTCTCGCGCCAACCCTCAGAGCAGACTCAGTCCTCCCTCTGCTGCGTGACTGAGAGCATGAGCTTGGAAGGGAAGTCCACCCTGCCTGTCATCTCCTACCTTCACCGTCATATCTGAAATGGCCGTTCCTCCTCGTAGAAATGACCCCCTTATGGAACCCACTCTTCTATCTCCACAGATATACAGGTTCAAACAACAGCAGATAGAAATCACAGTTAGCCTTGCAGGTTTTGTCTGTGCCAAATGCATGCAAGTTTACCTCTTGGAGAGTCTGTTACAGGTTCTAGCAGGGGAGCATAGCTACATGTAATCCCTTGACTGAAGACCATTCTCTATTTAGGGAAGGTTGTCCTCTTTGACCAAGCATGCAGCTTCCATAGAGACACACAGGGAGTTTTGAGGAATGAGGGGGTCACTAGCCTAGCCAACTCCATCACCCTCATATCCACAAGTTTATTTCTTACTTCTGCCTTAAACAGTATGGTCAAGTCTAGCAACCTTTTCCATTCCACTCACAATGTCTTAGGTATTACAAGTATTTTAGAGATGATTAAACATACAGGAGATGGCAGAGTTACATGCACATCCTAAAGCCAGGTATGCTTTAGGCACATGCTATTGTCCAAGCTACTCAAAAAGTTGAGGCAGGAAAATTGCTTGAGCCTAGAAGTTTAAGAATAGCCTGGGCAACACAAATAGATCCCACCCTATCCCATCCCACCACCCTTCAAAAATATCAATCCTGGAGTATCTGTGGATTTGGCTTTCTGAGCAGCATCCTCTTTTTGTTGTTGTTGTTTTGTTTGTTTTTCAAGACAGAATTTCTCTGTGTAGCCCTGGCTGTCCTGGAACTCACTCTGTAGAGCAGGCTGGCCTCAAACTCACATAGATCCGCCTGCCTCTGCCTCTCGAGTGCTAGGATTAAAGGTGTGTGCCACCACTGTCCAGCATCTGAGGACTATCCTAAAACTAACTGTCTGTGGATAGATACCAAGGGTGACTGACAGTTTACAGCTTTTCAGCTAACACTGTGGAGAGCTGTGATTTAGCCAGATTCTGAAGGCATTACTGGTTAGTTTCCTTATTAAGCAACACAAACAGCTTGTAAAAGAACAAGGACCTGCCAACCTTTGGCAGCATCAACATCAGTGTAAACCTGAATCCCTATGTTTGGCTCACTGCCCATCACTTTTTCCAAGAGGCTCTTCCTGGGCTTCCTCCCCTGTGCTAAAGGTTGTATAATATCCAGCCAAGCCGGGCATTGGTGGGCACACCTTTAATCCCAGCACTTGGGAGGCAGATGCAGGCGGATCTCTGTGAGTTCGAGACCAGCCTGGTCTACAAGAACTAGTTCCAGGACAGCCTCCAAAGCCACAGAGAAACCCTGTCTTGAAAAATACATATCCAGCCAACTTGAAACCTAGTCTTCAGTTGGTCTTGGAATCCTGAAAGGAAAATAGGGCTTTAATGTTCACTTTCCTATACATGCTCATCTTCTTGGATATTCTAAAGGCTCGAAGGAATCTGGCACGGTGGCACATGCTTGTAATCCCCGAATGTAGGATGTAAAGGCAGGAGGCTCAGGAGTCCAAGGTCATCCTTGGTTACATGGGGGATTTAAAATTAGCCTGGACTACAGGAGACCTTGTGTTTAAAAAAATTACAAATTAAAAAAAATAAGAGCTGGGGCTAATAGTAGAGTGCTTGCCTGGTGTGCATAAGGCTGTAGGTTCAATCTTCAGTAACACAGGGGAAACAAAAACAAAACAAACAAAAAAAATAGCTGGATTGCTATATGTCTCTGATCCCATGGCAGCTGGCACTCCTGGTCTGCCTGTGGACAGGAAAGCAGGCTCTGCTGTGGTGGTTTCTCCTCTACATTTCTCTGTTCATTTGTGTGTCTTGTTATAGACAAGCTCTTTTTGGAGACCATGTTAAGAAACCCCAGAGCCTGGAGGACACAGACTTGAGCCGGCTGTACACCGCAACATCCCTGATGCAGATTGATGACAATGTGATGAGGTGAGTCCCCAAAGCCAGGCCAGAGGTGCTAGTCAGCTCTGCCCAGCACCACTGCCTTGCTCCACTTGCGTTGGTGGCTTCTTTTCATTTCAGTAAGAGTCTAGTGTTTAGAATAAGAGATCATAGGAAAATGCTCATCTCTTGGAAATGGGTAAAGACTATGACCAGTCCTCCCATGTGGCACAGGCAGCTTAAACTGGGGGGTGAAGTGTGCTCACCTGGTACACTCGTACACCTAGTGTGTCCCCCTCTGTACACTGTATGTCCTGCCTCAACACAGGTCAAGATTAGTGCCCCCCCAGATTTGCCTTTGCAGTGGGGGTAGTAGTTTTTCTACATGGTAAGCATGCTTATCCAGACTTCGATGGCTGAGTCTATCAAAAGCAGATGACCAAAGGTAGACTGAGAGAGTTGTAGGTTTCAGACAAGACATGGAACCACTTTCTGGGCATGGGATGAGGTACTTCTGGGCAGAAGATATAATCCTGCCCATTTCTTTCAATCGCTCTCTCCTTGCCTGGACTCATAGCTCTAATGATCTCACCTTTGCTGGCACCAGCACCTTCTAACTGAAGTTAGAACTTCACTTGTAGAGTTCATCTCAGACCTTGTCCCTGTCTTTCACATTTCACAATCCTTTGATAACTTTAGACAGAGCCTAAAGCAAGTAGGTCCTCCTCAGATAGGTGGCCATTGGCCTAAGGCCTTAAGTGCTGCTTCATAGTGCCTAAGAGTTCACGAAACTCCTATCCTTTCACACCAGGTAAAGACGAAGGTGACTGTTTTCTCAAAGCAAATAGAAGCTGTGGAATTGCTAGTAAATTTTAAAAAATGGAAACTGTATTTGTTAGGGCTTTTATAACTTTGAAAAGACACCATGACCACAGCAACTCTTCTAATTGAGATGGCTTGTTTACAGTTTCAAAGGTTCAGTCCATTATCGTCATGGTGGGGAGCATGGTGGCGTGCAAGGAGCCATGGTGCTGGAGAAGTATCTGAGAGTCCTATATCTTGTAAGCAACAGGAAGTTGACTAAGTCACCAGGCAATAGCCTGAGCATAGGAAACCTCAAAGCCCATCCCTACAGTGACACACTTCCTCCAACAAGGCCATGCCTATTCCAACAAAGCCACACCTCCTAATAGTGCCACTCCCTATTACTTTCAAACTACTATAGAAATAAATGGTGCCCAGCCCTCTAACGGTACAGTATGTAACTTATTGTTGTGACTAATAAGGAGAGAAAAGTAACAATTTCCCATCTTCTTAATTTAAGCCCAAAAGAAAAAGTTCCTCAATTCTTGTAAAGCTCTTCATCGTTAGTAGTATTGGGTGGTAGCGGTTCTGTAATCAGGCCACTCTGGCAGCATCCCCAGAGTGGTCACCAGCAATGCTGGAGGAATGGAATACTTTGGGAAGACCTCAGAGGACAGATTGACACAGTCTGGATTTGATCTCTGTACACAGCCTCCTTCCCCACCATGGTCCCTATTGGTCTAGTCTGAGCCTTCTGGGTCATTTCCTGACTGAGATACCTGAGAAGGGTGGAGGTGGAAGATATCTGTCACAGCTCTGGGGGAGGCAGGACATTTCAGAGACCTGAATCAAAACAGAAGGTCCACCTTCAGAGACTAGAGGCCCCATCCTGGTAGGAAAGAAAGGGAGGTTCAGAGGTCTTCTGGCCAATGTTAGAATTTGGGTTATCAGGGCATCAGAGCCCCAGCTGAACTCTCCCGGCCTCTCAGCACAGAGCTGCAGATCTCTCTGTTGTTGTGAGACCTCAGGTGGTCAGTGACAGGTACTGTTCCTTGCCTGGAGAGAACTGGCAACTTCAAAAGTGCTCTTGTCACATCTTACTCTCTGGCACACTTCATTCCAGCGGCTCCAGGGTAACCCTGCCAAAAGCAAAGTTCTAGCTAATGCATGCCTGTGACCGTGAGTTTCCCATCAAAGGAGATAAACGAGTTTATGCTGCCTTAAAAGATGCAGCAGCCAATGCCGATTATAATGGTTAATATTGACTGAGGTTTCTCCAGGCAAGGTGCCCATAAGCACTTCCATATCATCACTTTCACAGCACCATCAAGGAAGGTCCTGTCTTTGATCCACTTTACAGTGAGACAGCCAAGGCCCAGGAAACTGAGATTACACAACAGAAAGTTGCAGAACCAGGACTCCATCCAGATCCTAAGCCCATGCTCTTGACTCCAAACTCGGGCCACCTACATTCATTTTATTTAGTGCGATAGCTAGAACCATGGTGAAATCACTGCCTGTGCAGATACTGCCATTGTTATGAGTTAGTATAGAAACGGAGAGTCATCAGATCAATTCTATAACAGATGTTGTTTTGCCTTTTTGTGTGTATGTGCTTGTGTTCCAGAAAGTTCCATGGCTATAACTCCCTGAAGGAATATTATGAGGAAGAAAGCTGCATGAGATACCTGCACAGGGTGAGTGGCTGCCCCATCTCAGAGTCAGTGTCACCATGGCCCCACCTTAGAGTCATCATCACTGGGGCCAGCTCTGCCCGAGTACAACAGATACCCTTCCTAAGTTCACTGGTGGAAGCAGAGCCAGAATTTGAACAGCATCACTCTAGTTCATCGCTCAAACTTCCCATTGAGCCAGTTGTCCTCACTGTGACTGCCATACTCTAAATCCCAGAGCTGTCCTCAGACTCTCAGGCTTCCTTTGACAGTATAATAATAAAAAACACCTGTTTTCTGGTGGTTTTTCATGGGAGATCCATCTGTCTTTCTTTCTGCCCTTGAGCATTTCTGGTGGCCATATGTATGTAGGCCACATGCTATCTAGGACTGCACTCCCAGATTTCTGCCATGATTGGGTAAACACGGAGTAAATTAGGTGTGTTCTTTTTGGTTTTTTGAGACAGGGTTTCTCTGTAACTTTGGAGGCTGTCCTGGATATTAGCTCTTGTAGACCAGGCTGGTCTCGAACTCACAGAGACTCACCTGCTTCTGCCTCCCAAGTGCTGGGATTAAAGGCGTGCGCCACCACCCCCCAGCTTTAAGTGGAGTTCTGTATCAAAGTGATAAGGAACATGCCTTCTGAAACATGTAATAGGCATAGGCGATGCACCTGTAAAATAACCAGTACTCAAGAAGCTGAGGCAGGAGGATTGCTGAGAGTTGGTGCCAACTTGGGGTACATAGCAAGTACCCAGCCAGCTAGAGCTACATTGAAAGGACCACAACTCAAAAAGAGAAAGAATGCCAGCAAGATAGATAGCTCAGCAGGTGAAGGCACTTGTCACCAAGCCTGATATTCTGAGTTCAAATCCCAGGGCCCACATGGTGGAAAAAGAGCAGTAACTCCCCAGTTGTTCTCTGACCTCTCATGCATGAACGAACACACACACACACACACACACACACACACACACACACAGATATACAAATTAATGTAATAAAAAATTAAAAATGACTGATTTTTATCTGTTTTTTTAACAGCTACAGTAAACCTTATGTTTACCAAGTTCGTGGCCAACACAGTTCCCATAATTTTACCTGAACCAGCACTGAGCACGTCTCTTTCATCCTGCCATGCACCATTGCTCTTATTATGACAACACACAGCTCCCATTTATGAGAGTGCACCTCTGCTGATCTGGCCCACAGATCCTCACCTCATGGGGATGGTTGTGAATTATAGTTCTGTGGCTGTCTTAGTTGTGGGTTCTCCTGAGTCAGCATCATTCACGTGCCCTTTGACATGCTAGAGTTCCAGGAGAGTACAGCCATTCCTTATGTCAGGATGGCAGTTCAGGATGGTCTGAGTGCCCCCATCAGCACCACCTACACTATAAAACAAAAGGATGCTCTTTTTATCTGTTTTAATAATGGGTACATTGAGCACAGTCCTGCCAAGAGCTCCCTGATACCCACCAACCCACTTATATTTGTTTGTGAAGTTTTGTTAAAATAGGTATTGAACCCAGGGCCTTTCATCTGCTGCTTAAGGGTCCTACCACTGAGTGACATCTCTAATGCTTGGTTTTTTGAAATAGGGTCTTGAGATAAAGAAAGATATATACATACATACATACATAATACATGCATACATACGTAGACAGACACATATATACATATACATACATACATACATACATATATAAATTCACAGATAATAGATAGATACATACATATATACATACATACCTGGACACATACATAGACATATACCTACATACACAGACAGATAGATAGGCAGACAGACAGACACACACACACACACACACACACACACACACACACACACACAGACATCTTGATGCTGTCATTTTTCTGGGAAATGTGGCTAATCCAAAACAGTAAAGATAATCAGAAACACTTGTGAATGTCATTAAGTACACATTGAGCCCTGTCTCCCATGAGCACACTGGGTCTCCTGAGGCACTGGCAGCTGTGCTCCTAACTATACCTGCTATGGGGTGGTGATCACAGCAGACTTGTCACTCATCTCGCTGCCAGTGACCTCAAGGCACCCCTAAGGCTCCAACCCAACAAACGGAGCTGTGAGCATTTCCCTCTCCTTCAAAGGCATGTCTGGTAGGGAGCAGGCCGTTTAACTCCAGTTTTCCTCTTGCTGCAGATATATGTGCCTCTTATGCTGGTGAATGCAGCTGACGACCCCTTGGTGCACGAAAGCCTTCTAAACATTCCAAAGTCTCTCTCAGGTGAGTTTCTTCGCACTGTCTTCCCAGCCACACAGTAGATTACCATTGTAAACTTGGTCATTTTCGCTGTTCTCTGGGGGGGGAGGGGGACAGCTCATTGATAGTCCTGGATTGCAAAGGGCCCTGGGTAGAACCTTCTAGACTTCCATCCTGGTGCAAGAGACAGGACCATTCTTGATGTCCATCACCAAGAGAGTGTTCTGCAGCAGCGTCGTCTCAGAACTATCATACCTTTAAATGGGAGAGCCTGACTGAAAGAGATATGTAGAGCTAAAATTTGCCCTAAAAAGCAAAGCAAAACAAAGCCAATTCTGCTTCCTCTGATGACAAACAGCTCTTCCATCTGCCTGGAGGTTATAGGCAGCTGAAATGGCAGAGAACATTGCTCACAGAAACGCCGTGCAGACTTAATCCATCCTGTGGTCGGCACTACAGGGAAGGCAGAGAGAGGAAACACGAGGAAGGCCTGGGGTTCCAGTTATTTCGAATTGCAGTTTCCAATCCCTGGGGTATCACAGTCCTTTGTGATTACATTTCCTCTTGTAAATATTGTAGCCTAAAGGAAGGAGCTAACCCTGCCCTCTCAGCACCACAGCTGCAAGAGTAGGTAAGGTAGCAGAGAAAGGGCTTCCGCCTTACAGGGCTTCTGTCCTGCGCAGGAGAAAAGCTGTGTGTGGGGGAGTCTGTTTCATGACAGAAGCTCTCTCCTGTCAAACCCCAGCCACCCTTGGACTCCCAACGTACCACACCACAGCCCACTCAGCCACGTGCAACAGTGGCCCGAAAATAACATTCACAGGACTAATGATGTCCCACAGAAATGTACAAAACAGCAACTAGAAAGGAAGAGTTAGGGGAGTGAGACAAGAGCCAAAGTCCAGCTCCAGGCCCTCAGCTCTCAGGGTAGCCATTTAGCACCTGGCACTGGGAGCCTGAGCATCTTTGTTTGTTTGTTTGCTTGCTTGCTTGCTTTTTTCGTTTTGTTTTATGTGCATGTATATCAGTGTGAGGATGCCCTGGAATGGGAGTTAGACAGTTGTGAGCTGTCATGTGGGTGCTGAGAATTGAACCCATGTCCTCTGAAAGAGCCACCAGTGCACTTAACCACTGAGCTACCTGGCCTCCATCCTGAAGGTCCATGCACTGCGCTCTCCTTTCTCTCTGATCACCTGCACACTTTTAGTGCTATGACCCCTCCTCTGAGCCTTCCCACCCTTGGAGTTATCTAATCAGCATTTCAGTAAGATACCATGAGGAATCCAGGTACACAAAGCTGGGAAGCACAGCCCATCAGCTGGGGCACTTCAGCACCACCAGCACAGCGCTGGCTCCCCTCGTTTGCTCTCTTTCGCCCCTAAGGTTGTAACTTAGTCATGTGGGGGTCAGGGGGCAGCTTGGGTTTATAGAGTTTTAAGTATGAGTTCTAAGATCTTCTGAAGCTAGTGCCCATTTAGCAGTTCTGAAGACTGAACTCCGGGGGTTTTCTAGGCTAAGGCAGTGTTTTACTATTGACCTGTGCCCCCAGCCTTTTTGGTGCCCATTATACACCAGACTCATGAGGTCTGTCTGACTTGCCTGCCCAGTTGAGAAAAGACAGCACAGTGAGTAATGGTTGGATGCCCATTTAGGTGCCCTCTGAGGAATGCCCAGACTCCCCAGCTCTCTCACCTTTTCCCTCTTGCTCTGGAGTTAATAGGATGCTGTAATTCTGCTGCCTTTCCCCCCACAGAGAAACGGGAGAATGTCATGTTTGTGCTGCCTCTGCACGGGGGCCACCTGGGCTTCTTCGAGGGCTCCGTGCTGTTCCCTGAGCCACTGACATGGATGGATAAGCTCGTGGTGGAATATGCCAATGCCATTTGCCAATGGGAAAGGAATAAGTCCCAGTGCTCAGACACGGAGCAGGTGGAGGCTGAGTTAGAATGAGGCCTCTGGACTCTGGCGTGTTCCCGTAGCCCTCCTCTGGAACCCACGGCTGTTTCAGGTCTCTCCTATCCCTCAGTGACCTGGATCTGACCTCATACCATCAGTGGGGGCCACCCATCATGCAACCTGTCTCAAGTAGGCAGCTCTCCCTGGGAGCTCCAGGCTATTTTTGTGCTTAGTTATGGGTTTTCTCCATTACATTGTTAGCCATGGTGACAAGCTACAAGATTCTTACCTTTCTGTCCAGTTTCAGTATCTGATTGCTTTCATGCCAGTTAAATCTAGTTTTCCTACTAAGGAACACATCTGAACTTCAGTTTCGCTTTGCCAATCAAAAGGCCTTTCCCTGATAACCATGAAGGATGTATGTCACTTTGTGACAGTTGTATGTGCCCTTGTAGAGTCCCCAACAAGAAGTCAGCATCTCTGACCAATGCTGAAGAAATGACTCAGCTTTGAGAGCCTGGGAGCCTGGGGCCTCCTGGGCCTGAGTTTTGCCTCCAAAACAAAGGAGATTCCCTGAGTCTAAAGCCAATTCCTTCTCACCATCTCCCAAGACACCTTCCTCCCACCTTGCTGCTGCTGAGAGTTGCATGGGACACTTGTCTAAAAATTCAGCCTCCCAGATCCCTCCCCTGGGAGATGCTGACTTGGTGGGTTTGGGAAGGGGTCTGGGGATTTTAATTTTTAACAAGTGCCCCAGGGAATTCTCATCACCCAGCAAACTGAAGGAAGCACCATACTACAGCACCTTTAAATAGAAATGTCTCCAAAGCAGGAGGGCCTGTTGTATGACTGCCTTTGTGTGATCTTAGTGTGGTGTCCCTAAAAGGGAGAAGGTGTGTGGGCTTAGCCCTAGCTCTGTTTCTCCCCAGGTGTATGACCCTGGACAAATCCCTTTGGACTTGACTTTCTTCCCTTGCTAAATGGAGGGCTTGGACCAGGTAGACTGCTGAGGTGACCACCAGTTCTAAAGTTCAGTGACAAATTCAGTGTACTGAGGTCTGAGAGAACATCCCTCTGGGGGTGCCTGGGAATCTGTCTTCCCAGGCTGAGCATGCAAATGCCAGGACTTGCAATGTTCCCCTCTCCCCATTTAATATAAAGAGATTTCAGAGTCTTAATCACTCACTTGTCATTTTAGTTTTTCATCCCAGGGTCCGCCTAACTCTGGGTTTTGATACCAAACGATTCAAAAGTTGGATCTGAGTTTGAGGAAATGTATGTCCACCTGAGAGGAAAGGGTGTTCTTTTGAAGCCGGTTTGTAACTAAATAGCCTCCGGATTGTCTGTTGGGTAGATCTTTCTAAGATGTCTTCTGTAGTGGACACGCCACTCTAGGCTTCAAGTACTCTTCTGGAATTCATGTGGTACTTGAATCCCTAAGAACCTGCACTTTGAAAAATCAGCAGTTGCTCTCAAATTAGATGAAACTATAGGTGAATTGCCTGGATACTGTTTAAAAAACATTTTTTTTCATTGCTTCATCTCCTTTGGCTCCAGGACAGACTGAAGTATAGTACTGGGTCTGTACAGATATTTAAGGAGCCACCTGTGCACCCTAATGCCAATCCTCAGGGCCCCAGGTGGGATAGAGAGTGTGGGCATTGGCCCAAGAGACTGTGACAGGAACGTTTGTGAATTGAAGAACTGTTTTCTGACAATCACTAGATCATCCCATAACATCATACATGGACATTCTCCCAGAAAACTGGGGTTTCCAGTTTGCTTTGCTGTTATTTCTTCACACTTACCAAATTCTGTCACTGTGCCCCTCCCATGGTTGTCATTTCTCTGTTGCATGTCTTTTTTTTTTTTTATGTTCTCTTAGCACAAATTGGCACTTTATCATCCATCCCTCAACTTGGAAGCTAATCCTTCTCCGTCAGTTTCCCTCCACCCAACCACAGCTATTAGAAGACTCACATAGTTCCTGCTGCTGCCTTTATCCCTGAAGACTTTTAAAGAAAGCAATAAGGGGATAGAGTTGAGGCACCATCCCTAGAAGTAAGCATCTCCCTTCGTTTGCCTGAGATCATCTCTTTCCGAGCTTGGGCACCACCTGCTTCAGAGAGAAGTCAGCCCTATGGTCACACTTAGGAGGAGGTGGGAGACTGTCCAGGGAGCCTGGTCTTTACAGCGGTCCTGGAGGCCCACCAAGGAGAGGCAGCACTGGGGCACAGGCTTTGTTGCTACACTACTGGTACTCTGGCCCCTAGGACTGGGGGAGGGGACATGTGCCAGCTGAAACCTCCTTGGTGTGTGCTCTGAATGGCACTGGCGTCCCCATTTTGCTTCACATGAAATCAACTGAAGCTCTTTATTCAAGCTTCGGGCGGGCTCTCAGACATGGAAATGAGACTGTGACCATGGCAGTCTGACAGGAAAATTCTTGTTTGACCCTGAATGAGAGCACAGAGGCATGAATGTGGAGGAGCCAGCTTGTCTAATGAATGAGGAAACAGCCCTTTATGTAGGTCAGCCTCTTTCCTTCCTCTGGGCTTCCTTGCTTTCTTCCCAAAGTCATCCATTCCTGATAGCAATGTGAATTGTCTGTTGGCTATCAAGGGCTTACTTGAACCAAAGGCCAAATTTTTAGAGAACATTTTAATGTTCTAAAAAATTGAGGACATAAATTATATGGATCTAGACCATTCTATGGCAAGAATAACATTAAAACCCAAGTGAGGAATGCATCCACATTACTCTAGCTGTGTCCCCTGCCTCTCACATAAGTGGAAGACATTGTCTTCGGTCAAATTAGGGTAACCTAGCTTGAAAAAAAGATAATCAAGACTGTGTAGTTAGCAGGGAGTTTCCCCAACTGCAATGACTTTGCATCATCCATCCCTGGGCCGAATGAAGGTGGGAAGTTTGTCGTGCTGTCCATATTCTTTTCATTTCTGTAGTGTCTTACAGTTGTAGGGAACCTTAGGAGCTACTGAAGTGTTCCTGAAAGGCAAGTCTTCCTTTATCCCCATGGCGTTTCATACCCAGGGTCAGGAGGCCTGTCTTCTCGTCCCCCCTGGCTCTCACTTTGGACCCGAGCAAGTCACTGCCCCTTTCTGAACCTGTTACCTCATCCTACATCACCTCTGAGACTGTTTCATCCACTTACTGATCATTTGCCCAGTCATTGCTAAGTGTTTGAAGGTAGAAACAGGTGAATCAAGACCCATCAGCTCATCTTGAGAGGACTTGGAGAGGGAGAGGAGGAGCGTGCGCGTTCAGCTTTTCCTAGTTAGGACTCTGGATGGAATCCAAAGCCATCTTTGGCCTCTCTTTCTTGTCTTCACCATTAAGACAATTTCCTTGCTGTTCTGAGGGTGGTCCTGTGACCGTGGCAGGTGAGGGCCACCGGTAATAAGGAAAGTACCTCCGGCCTTCAGTGTGACCAGGCAAAGCATGGACAGTTGCCAGGACAGAGTCCTTCCTATACAGGCTCATTCTGAACCCAGGCTGCACTCTGTGGCTGAGCCTTCTGGGTAGCTGTGCTTATATGGCTGGCATCCGGATGAGAGCTCTCTTTGTAAGTGGCTGACTTGAAGGAGAGTTTGCCAGCTCCCGGGATACAGTACGTGTGTTCTTGTTTGTGTTTGCCCCGGAAGCAGGTGCTAGAGATGTGAGAGGCTTTTCTTTTCCCGTGGCCTTGATCCTGACTTAGAGTGACAGTTTTAAAAGAAGAAGAAAAAGGAAAAGCAAAAGCAAAAACAAAAACATGTGGAGTTGGAGGAAGTCCTGGGGTTTCCTCCTTGAGATACACAGGAAAGTTGTTAGGAAGCATGTCACTTCAGCATCCTGTCACCGTGTTTCATCTGGAATTGTTTTCCTTACCTTACCCAGAAAGCCTTAACTTGCCTCTAGAAAATCCCCTGGTATGACCACATTGTGGCATAAGAATTCAAACTCTTCTACTATGAAAGTTTGAGGCAAAGCCACAGCCAAACCAGAGAATTTCCTCAGGTGGCCCAGAGGCTCCTGTGATGTCACCTCCACCTCTCACCCCCAACAACATGAGTGGTCTGGAATAGCCCTGTCACCTGTCGTCTTTGCCTTACTCTTCTCAAAGCCACTTTGGATCACCCAGATGCTTCCAGAAGGGGCCTGCTTGGCACTCAGACACCAAGTAGTTGAGAACCAGGTTTCTTCCACCTGGTATCTAAGCAAAGGACAGTATCCCCTCTTCATAAACTAGGATGGTTTTTCCTAAACTCTATTTACAGCTAAGGACACAGGAACAGGCCCCTGCTGGCTAACCGAACGGCATCGAGAGCAAAGGCTGCCCCGCCAGCCTGTCTCTGCTGCCTCCAGGTGCTTTGCTACAGCCCAGCATCCTCTGGTAGTGGTCCTTAGAGACAGGCCACACAGTCCAGCTAGCCAACAGTCCCCAGACATCCAGAACATAGACAGCTGTCCCTTTTGGAAAAGTCCGTCCTTCATGTTTTCCAACTGTCTTCCTAGCATGTGTGTAGTTAGAGCTTTCACCGATGCCTAATAAAGAAGCTGAAATTAATTACTAATCAGTAGGTTAAATCCAGAACCCTGAGTCTCGTGAAAGTCCTCAGCCTTTAACTAGACTCCTGTCAATTAGTAACAAAATCCATAACCTTCCATCTCCCCATTCCTGGTCCCCTTTAGCCAAGTAATCTTCTATTGCCATAAACTGGGGACAGGCCACTTCTGGCGCCTGCAGAAGTGCCCTTCGTCTCAGTGGGCATTCTGCCCCCAAACCACACACACAGAGCAGTCAACATCACCTAAAAAAAAAAAATTGCCAACCTCCTTGGTCCTCCAGGGCCAACCACTGCTCTCTCAGGCTGCTCTCATGAGGGAACCCAGTTCCTGGCTACAGGAGCTAGACTCACTTTGGTCTTCATTTTGGCCTCTTTAGTTTTCCTAAAGCACAAGTCCGTGTAGAATTCTGTCACCTCCCCATCCCAACACCTGTTCCAGGTGACCTGGATCTCTCCTGCAGCCTCAGAGACCTTCACTGGACCTGAGCTTGCAACTTCCCCCACTGCTGCTGCCTTAGTGACCCTGGGCTGGGGCCAGGGAGGAGGCCAGTTTGCCTCCCTCCTTTTCCTAGGTAAACTCCAACCAACCACAGTCTTAAGTTGGCAGATCTGCTTCCAGATTGATTTTTCAGAACCATCACTTTTACATTCCTGATTCTAGTTCATTTTGCTTTGCTCTCTCTCTCTCTCTCTCTCTCTCTCTGGGTTTTTAGGCAACTCCAGATGCTGCCCCGGAAATACTGTATCTCGGAGTCCGTGCTCTGAAAGCCCCTGCCTGTGCTGCTCTGTCCTTTGACTCCTCAGCACAGGCATTTCAGACTTGCAATTAGCAATGCAACTTTTTCTAAACACGAGGATATTTACCTTTATTAAGAAATTATACTAAACAATGGCGTCCTTGAGTGTTTTATGTTCTCACATTACTTTTGATTCTACTTTGATTCTGTGTGGTGGTGAAAGATCATTACAAACAAAAACTGTAATTTTGTTATCTTTGACTCAATGGAATTTCTTTACTTAAAAAAAAATAAAGACTAAAAAATGTAGAGTGCTTGTGTGTGCTTTGTCTAGTGAGGGGTTTCTACATAAGAAAAAAAAAAGGTGCATCTGGTGATCTGGTGGATGAAGAGGTGACTCGGTGGATAAAGTGCTTGCTGCACAAGCATGAGGACCTGAGTTCGGATCCCCAGCACCCAAGTCAGGTGTGGTGGTGCATGCCTGTAAATTATATAGCTAGGAGGCAGGGGCTTACTGTCTGGTTGTTCTACCTGCCTGACTTGAACTCCAGGTTCAATGAGAGACCCAAGGTAGAGAGTGACAGAGAAGGACATATGATGTTGACCTTTAGTGTCCAAATGAGGCACACACTCACGCATACTAACACACAAAGGGTGTTTCCTATGTCTGCATCAAAGCCCAGGGCCTAGTGGCAGTGTACAGAACGCCCATTTCCTAAGTGATGTTAAACCAACCCTGCAGACAAATACCAACAGTCCCAGACATCCAGATATGATCAGCGAGTGTCATTTGTGTGCTTTTCAATCATGTTCTTTAAAAAGACCAAGTGAGATTCAGCTAAGTCAAGGTCCAATGGGGTCATCTTGTAGTTGTAGTGGTTCCTTACTTTTGTTTTGTTTTCTTGAGACAAGGGTCTCACATAGCCTGGGCTCCTCTCAGTCTCACTCTCTATATAAGGATGCCCCCTAAATTCCTGATCTTCCTGCCTCTGCCTCTCGAATACTGGTCACAGGCATACACAGAAACATCACACTTGGTGATGATGCTTTCTTCTATTTTGGATCTGTCTTAACCTGAGCAAAGGGCCAAACATTGGCTCAGCCAAGAGAACTGTATCACCTCCCAGAGCCTTGTGCTTGAGCCTTCCTTCTTCCAAGTTTATGCAAACCCTTTGACAAGCTAGGCAGTGAGTGCTGGCTTTGGAAGGTATAGATTACCAAGACCCAAGAATGCCCAATATCATAAGAAGGGGAGAAGAGAAGGGATGCAGAGGACATGAGGGAGAAGAAAGGTTGAGTCAGGGGAAGAATAGAAGATAACAAGAATGGAGATACCATAATAGAGGAAGACATTTTAGGTTTACAGAGAAATCAGGCACTAGGGAAATGTCTGCAGATCCACAAAGATGACACCAGCTAACAATCTAAGCAACAGAGGAGATGCTGCCTTAAATGCCCTCCCCTGATCATGAGACTGATGACTGACTTATATGCCATCCAGCCCTGCAGACAAATACCAGATACGATCAGCGAGTGTCTTTTGTGTGCTTTTTCAATCATGTTCTTTAAAAAGGCCAAGTGAGATTCAGCTAAGTCAAGGTCCAATTGGGGTCATCTTGTAGCCTTATTATATAAGCCTTCATCCAGTAGCTGGTGGAAGTAGTAGCAGACACCCACAACTAATCACTGAACTGAACTGAAATCCATATGCAGAGAAGGATGAGGGAAGAGCAAAGGAGTCCAGACCAGGCTGGTGAAACCCACAGAAACAGCTGACCTGAACATGAACTCTTGCTCCCCAGACTGATAGCTGGGATTCCAGCATGGGGCTGATCCAGACCCCAGGAACATGCGTTTCACTGAGGAAGCCTTGGAAATCTACAGGACTTCCTGTAGTTGTTCAGTACTTATCCCTAGCATAGGTGTGGACTTTGGGAGCCCAATCCCCATAGAGGAATACTCCCTGAGCCAAGACACACAAAGGTGGGCCTAGGCCCTATCTCAAAGGATAGGATAGATTCTGATGACACCCTATGGAAGGCCTCACCGTCCAGGGGAAACAGAAAGGATGTGTGATAGGTAGGGTTTTAGTGGGGTGGGGTGGTAGGGGAGGAGGGGAGGAACAAGGGAACTGGGGTTGTCATGTAAAACAATCTTGTTTCTAATTCAAAAAAATTAAAAAAAAGAATGCCCAATATCACATTTTAGAATGCCCCCCACCCTGTCATGTCACTTATAAAACAGACACTCTATTTTTGACCTAAGACAACCAACTGGTAAAGAATACTGCCTATAGGGCTGAGGATTTAACTCAGCAATGGAGTACTTTGCCTAGCAAGTGCAAGGCCCTGGTTCAGCCTCTACCACCAAATAATAAAATGTGGGAAAGAAACTACTGCCAGGTTGGAGAGCTGGCTCAGCAGTTAAGAGCACTGGCTGCTCTTCAAAAGAACCCAAGTTCAATTCCCAGCACCCATGTGGCAGCTACCATTTGTAACTCCAGCTCCAGGGGATCTGACGTTCCCTCTTAGCCTTCATGGGTACCTCATGCATGTGGTGCACAGATATACCTTCAGGCAAAACACATATATGTGTAAAATAACAAAAACTTAAAATGGGAAAGATTTTGGGTCTGGGATGTTAGGAGAGTGGATGCCAACAGCATGTCATTTACCACACCTTTTCTGGGCAGTCTGTTGGCATATGTGCTCAATGCCACTTCTTACTCCCAACAGAATGTATTTTTCATTATACCTTTCACAAACAGACCCTTCAGACACGGTCCTATTGAGAGGAGGTAGGGAGGACAGATGGTGGCATTTGTATACCCTGTATTATAAGGACACATTTGTATTCTATACTGTAGAAAGAAGTCCACACGTGTGTGTTATTAATAGCTTAACACAAACTGTTAATACCTTGTTCTACATTAACCATGTACTCATAGTCCAGGTGCCCCCTGGGGAATTGCAAGGTTGATAGCAAGAAGTACTATCTAGATTTGTATTCCAAGATGCCACCTAAGTCCCAGAGAGCCAAAATGAGGGACGAGAACAAGGGATGGTAACAAGAAAGGCAGACAAAAACCTCAGAAATGTGGCTGACACCTTACCAGAGAGGCAGAGCAAAGACTGTCTTTATCCCTCCTGCCCACACTCATAAAGCCTGCTGACTAGAGATGAATCCCAGGCATGTTTTTAAAGATGCTAAATCCGCTGCCTTGTCAGATCTCCCACTCTCTGAATAAAGGACAATGTAAAGGTTCGATTCCTGGGGCTGGAGAGATGACTCAGTGGTGAAGAGCTCCTACTGCGTTTACACAGGACTCCAGTTCAGTTCCCAGCACCCACTCCAGCTCCACAAGATCCAACACCCTAGCCTGATTTCCACAGGTACCTACACACACTTGAGGGTGTGTGCATGCACACACACACACACAATTTGAAAAATAGAATCTTTTTTTTTTTTTGGTATTCATGTTATACTGTTACATTTCCTGTGATGAGGACCCAATGTCTAACTGCATGGTCCTCCATATTGTAGTCCCCACCGTGTGTGTGTGTGTGTGTGTGTGTGTGTGTGTGTGTGTGTGTGTGTGTTTCCCTAGAGCAACTTAGAGGAACTGACCACTTTTATGGAATACCAATGGCAGGCATGGTGGCACACAGCTTTAATTATCTTTAATTCTGTGATTTCAAGGACAGCCTGCTCTACATAACAAGTTCCAGTCTAGCCAGGGCTACATAGTGAGACACTGACTCAAAAAATAACTGATTTTAAAGGACATTACAGGTGATTGACTTTGAACTGAATAGCCTTTCCCCAGAGGAAAAAAAAAGTCTTCTCTCCTTGTGACTCTGGGCCACCTAGAATGTCCTCCTGATGCTCTTGTTGGAAGTACCAAGCATCCTACTGAACATACACCAGTTTTCTCTTCAAGTTATTGTCTCCTTTATCTTATGACTGGGAAATGAAGTTCTCACATCACCATTCCTCATCCCCTTCACTGTCTGTGCCTCTCCCGTGCCCAGATTATAACGAGTAAGTTAAGTAAGGCCAACAGAAGAGGCTAAGCGTGAGTAGCAACAGAGCAAAGGGATTTGAAGTCAGAGTCCCATAGCAGCCACTTCTGAGCCCTTTGATGCTAAACAGGAATTAATGTTAGGTTTTAATATTTCTAGTGAAGATAAAAACAATAATGCCTGCATCTTGGTGGCATGGCACATGCCTTTAATTCCAGAGTTCAGGAGGCTGAAGCAGGAGGATTGCTGAGTTTAAGCCTAGGATGGGGTACGTAGTAAGACCCTGGCAAGTAAATGAATGGCAATTGAAAGGCTCAAGTAATATTTTCATAGTTTCTGTTTTTGTTTTTTTACTTTTATGATCATTGTGTTTTGCCTGCATGTATCTCTGTGTGGGGGTGTCAGAAACCCTGGAACTGGAGTTACAGACAGGTGTGGTGCTGGGATTTGAACCTGGATCCTCTGGAAAAGCAACCAATGCTCTTAACCACTGAGCCATCTCTCCAGCCTCCTCTTGTGTTGTTTTTATCTTGGTCTACCTGGTTCTCTCAGGATAGTGTAGAACTTGATGTTTTCCCATGGTCCAGCTCCGTCCCAGAGCATCTAAAACTGAGAGGCCCAAGGACAAAGCAGAAACAAGCCACACCTGATGAGTAGCCCCCAGAATACTCTGTCCAAATTCTCTGAAGGTTCACATACAAGGAGGGCAGAAATACACAGCTGCAATCTTCCAGCCCACACCCTGCTCTAATCAGTTTGTGGCCACATCCTGCCAGATGTCTCCAGAAGGATGCTATTATATGGACCAAATGGTTGTCATAAAACTCTAGTTTCTTTGTCCCCATTCCTGTGGCTTTCAAGAGTATTTTATTGTCTTTCCTGTATCTCATTAGTGCAGGAGGGTGGGACACTTGTGGAATCACAGATATGGGGGGGGGGTCTGATCTTACGGGGCTAAAGAAATCAGATTTTAACATTTGAGGTCTCCCCACACACTCTCCTAATGGCAGCACCACCTTCCCCAGACAAGGCTAGGGGGCAGCCCTACTGCCAATCACCTCCATCTTTCCTGTCCATGTCCTCGGGCTGTGCCATGCAAGGCCAGCAGGGGGCAGTGTGAATACACAGAGCAGCCTCACTGGGTCCCAATTCTATGGCTTCTCCCACAAAAAGCCACTGGGTTCTCTTGTTAGGAGAATCCCTGAGCTAAGGTCCTTGCCTTGCTGACTTCAGATGGACCCCAGTATTCTCTTGGGGCTCGAGTAGGACTGAGAGCTTCCTGGCCAC